AGGTGGCCAGAGATAATAAAAACATGCTTAGAGGTAAAAAGCATTTCCAGGCACTGTTCAAAAAACAGAGAGCAATGGCCAAGACATTGAGGGGGATAACAACTCTGCACCCTGTGGGGCGTTGCAGCACAGAGTCAAAAGTACCGTAATGGAATCTGTTAACACAAGATGCAGATCAAGGAAGCTGAGAAGACTAGAGAGAATTAGAACAAAATGGAGCAGAGATTATTAGCAGGGATCCTGGTTTTCCCTGGTAAAAAAAAAAAAAAAAAAAAAACGAATTATCTAATAAAAAATAGCAATTTATCTTCTTAAATCCCCCCAAATCCATGATTAATCATGGAATCATAGAAATAACAGTCTGGAAGGGACCTTGAAAGATCATCAAGTCCAACACCCCTGCTCTGAGCTGGCATACTGCTGAGATCAAACAGTCCCACCAAGGTGTATGTCCAGTTTTCTCTTGAAGATTTCCAAGGTTGGGGACTACACCACCTTCTTGGGAAGCCTATTCCAGACTCTAATCACCCTTACCGTAAAGTTCTCTCTTACATCAAACCTGAAACCATCCTCTAACAGTTTATGGCCACTGATCCTTGTCCTCCCCTAGGGCTCCCTACTGAACAGTTTTTCTCCCAGCTCCCACTATTCACCCCTTTCACACTTATAGATAGCCACTAAGTCCCCCCTCAGTCTTCTCTTCCCCAGGCTGAACAGTGTCAGATCCCTTAGTCTTTCTTCACCAGGTTTGTCCTCCAGGCCCTTAATCATTCTTGTGGCCCTTCTCTGGACCCTTTCAAGATTCTCTTCATCTTTTTTGAGGTGTGACGCCCAGAACTGGACACAGTACTCCAGCTGGGATCTCACCAACGCCAAGAGGAAGCATCACTTCCTTAGCCCTGCTCGTGATGCATCAGTTAATGCATCCCAGTATGTTATTAGCTCTGTTGACTATAGCATTGCACTGGCGGCTCATGTTCATCCTGTGATCATCCATAACCCTGAGGTCCCTTTCAGCCATCATGCGGGCCAGGACAGCTGCTCGTGACCTACCTATATTCATGTCACTGGTTACTTCTTCCCAGATGGAGCACTCTGCATTTATCTTTATTGAACTGCATCCAGTTCTGCTCCATCCACCTTTCGAGCTTGTCCAGGTCCACTCGGATCTGCATCCTACCCCTAGCACGATCACTTTTCCCCATAACAGTATTGTCTACAAACCTGGCCAGCGTGCTTTCCACATCCTCATCTAAATCATTGATAAAGATGTTGAACAGCATGGGGCCAAGAACCGAATCCTGTGGGACACCACTGGCCACCACCCGCCAAGATGATACAGACTGACCCACTAACAGTCTCTGGATTTGACACTTTTGCCAGTTTGCAACCCACTTGACTATACCACCCCACAATTCCGGGTTTTTTTATTTTTTAAGAGCATCATGGGAGACCATATCGAAGGCCTTTTTGAAATCCAAGTATATAACATCAACCATTTAAGTGGTTTGTTACTTGATCATAGAAGGAGACAAGGTTGATCAGGCATGACCTGCCCGCAATGAAACCATGTTGGCCATCCCTCAGCATCATGGTTTCTTCCAGTCTCTCACAAATGGATTTTTTTTATAGTCGTTTCCAAAATGTTACCCAGTATTGAGGTCAAACTGACCAGCCTATGGTTTCCCAGCTCCTTCCTCCTCCCCTTCTTAAAGATTAAAACAAAAGGCTACTATATATCTACTAGCCAACTGCCCATCAAAAATGACAGGGGCGTGGGAAG